TTGTCACAGAAATCACTAACTTTTGAGTGCTTAAGATGGGCTAGGTGTTGTATAGCTGGTTCACAGTTTATGTCTAATTTTTATAAAAGTGAGACTCTTTGTAGACATCATTATCCAGATTTACAAATCGGGAGAAAGATTCTGAGAGGTTAAGGAATTTACCTATGTCAAGCCAGGATCCAGACGCACATCTGTTTCACCTCAACTTTCTTTTCTGTTCATTGTGCCTCTTCTCCACACTGGACTCTGTATTGTACTCTGCATGCTTTACTCCATTCCCCAGACTTTATTTGGTCCAGAATGTCCTTCATTCCCATCTAAAACCTTAAATTCTCTCCGTGACCTGAGGGCTAGCTCCAGTCCTCTCTCTTCTGGAAAATGTCTGATTCTTTCTGCCTTCACTGATTTCCTTTATCTTTGAACTCCTTCCTGCAGCATGAACCACCTTGTCCCTAACATTTCCCTTATGCATTGTGTTCTGCTGTTCTGTACGTGCCAGTCTTCCTTCCCCAGCTGCACTGTAAGTATCTTAAGGGAAAGCACTTTGTATTACTTCATAGTCTCTCAGATGAGTTGCAGTTTTTCTGAGCATCAGGTGGGTATGTAATGCCTGCTTGTTGACAGGACCACTTGTCATTCTTAGCCTTTGAGTTATTTTGTTATCTTAGGTCCAGATAAGCAGGACAGGAAGGAGTCGAGAGTAAACCTTAGTTCTGTTTTTAAAAAGATTAAAACAGCCTGCAAGAGATGTGAGAAATATAACAAGAGAGTATTTGGATGAAAGAAAATAGAAAAATAAAACTAGGGACAATGTTGCTGGGAATGTGACTTAAAACATATAATACTGGAGGTAGGCTCTGTTTCTTGGCTGTGAAAGGCAAAAACAGAAGCCCTCTCTCTTATAAAACTCAGTGTCCATGAGATTAAAAAAAATCAATTGCTCATGAGCATTAAGTCTATTTTTGGCATCAAGACCAGACAGGAATTTCTCCCAAAGGAGAAATTAAGAGGAAATAGGGTAAATTAGTGAACAACATCCTTGCCAACATCAGTAAGAGTTGTTACAATAAAGAGTTTCATAGGAATCTATCTTATAATGACCCTTAGTCTAGCCAATGACATCATAGCAACAGAGTAAAATATACTAAGAAAAATTGCTCACATGGGGAGCATGGCAAACACTGTGGTTTTACCCCCCAAAACTGCCATCCAGTTGAAGGGCAGAGGACCTAAGTGTTAGAGAAGATGCCAGTCCAGACGAGTACTCGAGATGTCTGGAGGCTTGGATATAGAAGCTGGGTGATGGTGTGCATCCAGTGGGATCAGGTATGGTAGATCTCGCCTTTTCTTTCAGTCTTTTTTTCAGATACATAGGGTTTTGGTCTCTTCATTCTCTTGGGGACTCTGTCTGGGTTTTGGTAGAAATTCAAGTGGTGACTGGGGCAGGATTCTCCCTGATGGACACTAGGCTGAGTGTCAGTGTCCCAGCAAATTGGGCTGAGATTCCAGGCACAGTTCTCATTTGGGCTGGAAACAAAGTAGTGTTCAAGACTCCTAGGCTAGCCCCACCATGCACACAGAGTTAAGGCAGAAAAGGCAGAGGACGTGGGATAGCTTGATGGATCTATGAGTGTGCTGAGTCACTCAATCAGGGTACCCCAGATGTTAGGATTAGTGAGGATGGGGCTGAAAACATACCTCTGCCGGGGCTTTGTTCTTTTTGACTTGAAGGTGGTCCTCAGTGTGTGGAGCAGAATCACCTTGAGATGCTTAGCAGCATGCACGCTCCTGTGCCCCGTCCAGGCCCATCCAGGACCTACTGAGCAGTAGCTGTCACATAGGTGTCAGGTAGCTTCATGTGACAATCTGAGTGATTGTCATGTAGGCTAAAATTTGAGAACTGTTGATTTAGGCATCAAGTGAGGCAGAACATGCAGGTTTCCGGTATAAGTATCTGCTCTTCGTCTGACTTGGACCTGACTTTAGACACAGAGAAATTTTAGTAGAACTTAGAGAATTAGGTACTATTCAATTTTTTATGAAACATTGAATGATGAAGTGGCTTGGAACAAGTCATTCAATTTTTAAAAAAGGACATTTATGAGAGAAGTATAGACAGGGAAATTTAGAAGTTCTTTTAATAATGGGAGAAGGTACAAATTTAATGAACGGGGAAGTTTTCATCTGAGCCCACAGCACTTCCTGTCATTTACCTTCATATGAAGTAGCTCTAAGAGCATCTGAGAAGTTTTGTTTTGGGAGAAGGGGAGTCTTGAGTGGCTCTCCATGCAGCTAGGGAAATGATAACTTGGCAGAAGATGAAAACAGAACGGTAGGCTGCCAAAATAAGAGGAGTGACTGGGCACTCTGATTCCGGACACTTCTCCTGGATGCTGGATACCTTTCACCAGCATGAGCACGGAGATCCCGGGCACGCAGTGCACCTCACCCTTGGTCTTGACAGGTTATGGGGAATCATAACGGGCTTCGTTTGTGTTAGCCTCAAAAATAGTTGTTTTGACTGCAAGTTTGTGCAGCTGTCTTTCGTGATGCGGGGCTCAGCCCACGCTGCTGCTTGTTGTGTTACTGTTTCATTTGTTTGTTGCAGTGATTTGAAACAGAGAAAGAAAGGAGTTGGGGGAAAGGTTTGAACCAAAGCAATCAGGCAGCTTCAATAATGAAATGCTACCCAGGCCTTTGCCATCGGAAATCTATGCAACCCCATGGCTAATGCTGCTCTCATTATAGGGCTTCATCGAGCCTATTTTATCAGCTCAGCGGGGTTCAGAGCCTCTCTTCTCTGGAGGGAGAAAAAGCAGAATTATCACCAGGGTAATGAAACACACCCCCTCCCACGTTTGAGGAGTGTTTTATTAAAAGCATGTTGCTTTGGTCTCACATACTAGTTGCAATAAGTATAAAACGCCAGAATAGCTCTCAAGGGAAACACTTTTTTCTTTGTACTAATTTAAAATCCCTCAAAGAGCATGCAGTCAGGTGTGGTGTTAATATTTGGGCTGTCTGCTACCTGAGATTTTCATAACTCTTTGCGCTGGTAGGTGCAGTGTCATAAAGGATCGGCAGAGTTTTGGAGCCACCTGAAGAGAGCCAGCAGTTCATTAAGATGCTCTTTCAGAACCGTCTGCTCTTGCTAATATTTCATACCCTCAAGCTTATTTTCTTATGTCATTAATTACTAGGGAATTTTAATCACAACAGGCCAATAGCATTTGACGACATATTAATACTGCTAATAATCACCTTTTATTTTTTATGTCTTTATTTTTTATTTTGCCAGGGACATTTTCACAATTTACTTAGTTCCTAAAAAATTTAACCCAGTGGTACGATTTGCCAACCTCACCATTAGTTCCATCCAGTTAGCATTTCATTCTCCAGCTCATCTCCATCCTAATTCTTCCCAAACCTTAGGGCCCATGTGAAGTTCTAGGACAATTAATTCCTACCACAGCATGTAGTCTAGCAGAGGAGATAGACTTGTAAAGAAATAATTCCAATATGGTGTGGTGAGGATAATAATAGAGGTGTTTGAAAAGAGAAGTGTAATTGAGAAAAGCGGTATTTGAGTTGGATCTTTAAAAATTGAATGGAAATTCACCGGATTGTGAAGGGATAGGTGTTCATGCCAAGGAGAGACCTGCACGTACAAGGGCACAGAGTCACGGAACAGCAGAGCGACCGGTATGTTCAGAGAGTAGCTGGTAGCTTCGTGCCAGTGAAGTGTGGGTAAAAGTGCAAAAGATGAGCCCAGGAGTACAGGATCTGCTTGTTTCATACAGTTGGGCTTGAACTTTTTTTCTATGGGTTTTAGAAAGCCAGTCCATGGCTTTTAAGTAGGGAGATCGTATTTTAAGAAGCATCTTAGATTACGCTGGCAGAAGTATGCAGAATGATTTGGAGTGGGCCAGACTGGAGGCAGGAGATCAGTTAAGAGTCTAGGGCGGTAGTTCTGAAAGTTGCTGAAAGAAACTACAATTTAGGCCAAGGAGAGACGTTGCTGAGCGAAGATCAGATGAACTTGGTGGTCAGACGTCTCAAGCAGAGAGGAGGAGGAGAGGGCAGAGAACACTGAGGTTTCTAACTTGGGGCCTGGGCTGGGGCTGTGTCAGTTCAGATAAGGCAAATGTGAGGATGTTCCTGCGTTGTATTTTAAGGACAAGAAATTAATGAATTCCATTTTGGAATGATGAGTTCCAAGTACCCTGGATAGCCAAGTGGAGATGACCAGTCTTTAGTTAGATGAAGAGGCCGGGAGCTCAGGAAGAAAGCTTTGACAGGAGACCTGGATTGAAAGTGTGGGGACTTATTATTGGCCTGCCTGAATCATGACTTTCTAATGCTATTAATAAACCTACTCGTGCAGCTTCGTGGCATAGATGGGTCATTTAGAGGGTCTGCTCTCACCAGCCTTAAGTATTTTTATGCCTTCTGCTTGTGGCAGATTTACTCTATGCTGTATTTGTATTTCTGTATTTTTTTCACCCTAAGTGAAATGGAGACAGGTCCATTTATCTTTTTTTTTTTTCTTTTTTTAAACATCATCCTATTGAGTATTCAACAAGGTGAAGTGGGGAGAACCCGGACTTAGGGGCTCGGTAATCACCAGGGCCTTTCACAAATGTTCCACTTCCCTTCTTCTGCCTAGAGCAATAGGATTACATTCTTCACCTTCCCCCCCACCCCAGTGCCCTCCGTAACTTAGATTTAGCTCTGTGAGCAGCTTTTAGCTTCTAAAATGTGAGTAGAAGGAGCATGTCATTTCTAGGCAGAAGCTGTAAGAGTGAGTTTGCGTATCACCTTACTCCCTTCTTCTGCCACTGCAGCCTTAGAGACGGGAGCCGTCATCTGCCAGGGTCCCTCCACCCCATGACCCACTTACACAGGTAGTATGAATGAATAATAAAATTGCCTGCATTAAGCCCCCAAGCTTGTTATTCTCAAAGCATAAACTAACCAATCTGACTGGTAAAGAGCTAACTAGACATGGACGCAAGTCCCAGCTCTGTCCCTAATTAACTAACTCCCAGCAATTTAACACAGCTTCTCTGAGCAGCAATTTCTTCATTTTTGGAGTGAGAATAATGATACTGAGGTTGCCCGAGATCCGTGAGGGCTAGAGACAGGGATATAAAGTACCTTATTAGTAGGAGCCGTTCGTTACACCACAGCTGTTAGTATCTCTGTAGGCAGTTGCCCATTTTTAGAATATTGGTTTTGTGAAACCTTGTGGTCATTATCCCTCTCAGATCTGTGTGGCACTAAAGCTTCTTGAACATGTCATCTGTATGTTTATCTGAGCCGTTGCTACAGAAGGGATATAAGATAGGGCCAAGGACAGGCCAGCATAGATCTTCTCACGGATATGCCATTGTTAAGGGACTACTTTCGACAGTACTGTGCAAATAATCACTTGCAGTCTCCCCAGGTTTTTCATTTTGTCCGTGAAGATGTCGAGATTTTTTTTTCGGAAGTACCGTACAGAAGGAGCTACACTAAGCCAGTCATCTTGCTGAGACTGCATACGAGATAATCCCGTAGACTTCTCAAATATTTGTAAACTATTTGTTTAGTGATATTCCAGCTCTTCTTTCCCCAAAGACAAGCTTCTTGTGTGTGTTCTGACATACACAAATAGTTTCTTAACTACGCTGTTTACTTCCAATGTAATCTCACACCACATCTTGTCATCCAGCCATCAGAGTTATCTATCATGATGCGATTATCTGCTTATATCATCCCCCTTATTTACAAGCCTCCAGTGGGCCCACAGGATCACTGCTCACAGGGTAAAGTTTATGGAAGATTTTTATCCGTTTGAATATCAATTGAAAATCTAAATTTACACTTGGAGAGGCATGCCCTTGAGTCTGTGCGGCTGAGAAACTTAACTCGCAGCCAACCGAAGAAAGGATGATCGGAATTGCATCCCATAACTTCATTTTGAAAAACAAAAAAGAATTTGGTTTTGTGGAAGAGCTGGCAACTTTGGGGCAAAGTGACCTTGGCAAACATAGAGGTAGCAGAACTGGGGAAAGACAAGAGTGTGAGTAATGTAAATATAGTTCTAAAATAGTAGAAAGAAGAATTACCTTTAGAGAGTTGGGTTTGAGGCTTGTAAAAAGAAATATCACTTCCTGGGATGCTGCAGTCAGGCTATAAAGCCTTTCTTTTTTTTCCAGGGATGGTACGGGCTGGAAATATATTTAGAGTCTAAACAGGTTTAGATAGATTTATAAAATACGTGACTAATACCATGGCGGGAAGGACAGGTCACAGGAAAATAAGTACGCCGTTTGAAGGGAACTTTGGGTCGCCCTATTTTCTAAGAGGGACTTACGTTGGACGATTCAGAAACTTGGCTGAGGTTAGCTATTTCTTTGTTCTTATACTGAGTCATCACAATTCAATTTAAAATCTTTAGGAAAGAAGCATGGGCTTCTACTCTGCATAAAAGCATACTAGAGAACGTTGGAAGTCATAGGTCTGAAAATATTCAGTTGCAAGTGTACGTGTTTTTTAAATGATCTGTCTTTCAGTTGAGGTGACAGTAGCTGTCACTACATCCCCTCTCTAGGTAGCTAAATTAATTGGGAAAAGGAAAAATGTGTGCCCTGGAGCCTAGACTCACACACCATGCAGTGCCCGTCTCCTGCAGCCCCGCCCGCACCCTGGCGTGGCTCCCCGCTCTACCTGTGTGATGGCCTTTCAGAAATGACAAACAGTGCCTCCTAGGTGAAAAGATTTAACTGGCAATTAAAGAGGCATCCTAGGTTGGAAAAAAAGTAACTGTAACTTCATAATTTTATTTTCCTAGCATCTGTTCTGTTCAAGCCAAGCCTACTGTGGTGATCTTCATGGAGACAATTCAGTGGTTTCCTAGCAACCAAGTTTCCTGTGGTTTCCTTGGTTATAAGCAACGACATAACTCTTGTGGGCAACATCAGAAGCTCGGAAGAAAACCCTCCTTCTAAAGAATGAGGTTCCAAAAAATTCAGGTTACTGCTCGCTGAGGGTCTCTGTTTATAGTGAAGAACTCTTTCCCCATGGGTGTTAATAACTCTAGTAAGAGATTATGTGGAGGTTACAAAGTAAAATCACGTGTTAGATTACACGTCCTTTTTCATTGTTTTTGTAATATGCCCAATCCTAATTATTTTCTCTGAAATTAGGATACTTTTCCTAATTAGCTTCTACCCATAGACATACCCAGCAGATGAAATTTAGACACTTTTAAATGATTAAATGCGAGGCCATTTATGAAGAGAGCAGCGCTGTAGTTGCTCAAGGGTCAGACCCAATTATACTGCCTTGTTTTCACTGATTAAGTACATTTTAGAGGCTTAGGTGGGTGGCAGTGTGACGGGCTGCTGGTGGAGTCCATTAAATAACTGGTGACTTACACTGACCAGTAAATTTCCAGTGCCAGCATGGCCAGCATTAACCATTCTTACATACTTGTTTTTCCCTTCTATATTCATTTCTAAAAAAGAACTATACTGGGTAGCTGTATTCACTGGTGGTATACCTAAAATCCATAATATGGCAGCAGCAGAAGGAAATAGAAGCTTGTACAGTTAGAAGTGGTATTTGTGCCACATTTACTATTCATTTTTGCATCCTCAGTGCCTATGGTAGGATGTGGCTTGTGATAAACATGAAAGATTGAATTAATGAGTGACCAAGGGCTCTTCTACTTTTTCCTGTGGAAGTTAAGATTTTTTTATGGGGCTCACCAGGCTAAAGTAATGGACATTTGGAAAAGAAGAACAATATAGTGAATTCTGTATGTAAGAATTTCAAATTTTGAGTCAGTCTGGTTTTTTTGTGTAATATCCATTTATACATATTCAGGTATTTATCATGGACCTGCTATGAGCCAGGCTGTGTGCTGTGTCCAGAGTAAAATGGTAAATAAAATTAAACATAATTCCTGCCTCAAGGAGCTTGAAAAATGAAATTATTGGGAATTATAAATTAATTAAATGACAGCACAGACAAAAATAAAATTACAACTTTGATAAATACTGTAGAGACAGGCTACATGATGCCATGAGTTTAACAAGGAAGTCTATGCCGATTGGGGTCAGGGTTGACAGGGAAAATATCTCAGAAGATGTAACATTTAGATATGAAGAGCTGAGCAGGCAGAAGGCAAGGTAGTTATTATTTTCTCTTTTTGTAATATTAAGAGATTGAGGAGTAAGGACTGTAAATAACACACCCTACATGACATGATAACAGTGAGGCTGAGGTTAGAATCTAGGACACTCTTGGGTTCCAAAAGCTGTTCTTTTTTTCAGGCTGATACATCATAATTCCACTCTTCTAGGCTATAGTTCGGGTCAGAGTGTCTTGTTATCAAGATACCCTTTATATTGTGTCTGATAGCAATGAAGGAGGCAAAGACTTATTCTAGTCTTGCTTTCCTGAGGCTTCTAGAAAATGGGCAACAGTAAACCTAATTTAGCTGAAGGAAATTTCTTAACTCTTTTTTAATACAAGCATTTATTTATGTCCTTATTTTTCAAGGAACTTTATTGAATTATCCTGAAAATTGCTTGTTTAGCAATCATTTTGAAATGGATGTACTTGTAATTTGATTTTAGTTCTGTACCAAGAGGAAGGGTAACAAAGCAGTTTACCTTTATGTCCCTTAAATTACAGTCAGACATTTAAAACCAGAAGGGGCCAAGAGGTCGTTTGGACCTCTGAAGCGCATTCATACATTCAGTAATTTTTAATTGAACTTCTTCTCTATGCTAGGCATGGTTCTAGGTATTGTGGATGCTACCTTGAACAAAGTCTTTGAAATCATACGAAACACACACACACATAAAACACAGGGAACTCATTATAATTCATAATCAGGGAGTGATATATGATATGAAGTAAAACAGATGGATGAGAGCAGTAAAAGATAGTTAGGGAAGGACGTTCTGAGGAAGTGACCTCGGATCAGAGACCTGAGGGAAGCTAGGAAGTGCTATGTGGGGCGAGGGGATTCAAGGCAGGGGGGATAACAAGTGCAGACTGTGAGAGACAGCAGCTTGGAAGGTTAGAAGAAGGACTGCACTTAAGATTTTATAAAAAACTTAGTGGTTAATGACTTTTCAAACTAATAAACTGTGCTTATAGTCCTTGTGTAACAGAAGACACCTTCACAGGTGTCCCACCCCAAAAATGAGTCTCTGGAGCAGAAAACGTACACATCCAAGTCTGCTTTCGGTTTGGACAGTTGTATTAAAAGCGATTTCTTTTTTGTATTAGGATTTAATTGTCTAAAAACTAAAAATCACTCTCAGCTGACAAACTTTGAGAATCATTTCAGAATTATTTAACGAAAA